TGTTAGGCATGTTGGAGTAAGGTACGGGGTAACTATGTTAGTTTTCTACTTCGAATGTTCAATTTAGTGTGTTAACACATACCTACCTAGGTACCTAATTAGGTAACATTCACAAAATTCACAATTATAACTGTGCTATATATATTTCTCCGACCTTTTTCCTCACACTAGACAAAGGAATTGTTAATATGATTGCCTATATCCTTTGATATCTATATTGATTGAGATATACTCCGTATATCTCTCTCCTGTATTTAATTGGGGTCCACATCCAAGACATGCACAGCCAGGGAACCACTCATCTCATACTTAGGTCGTTCTATTATTGGCAATAAACCGGGTCAAATGTGCTCCGTCTTTTTTTTTTTTCTCTCTCTGTCTGTCTCTGTAATATATGATTATTGAATGTATTATATTGTAAAATATTATTAAAGAGTAAAAATAATAGAAGTAAAATAGAAATAAATCATATATTTTATTTTTATCAAATTACTTCTCCTGACCTTTCTCCCCTTGTATTTCTCTTTCCCTTTTTTTTTTGTTTGGATCTCAGCTCAGCCTCATCCATTCCCTTGTGGAAGTTGAAAAGGGTATCAGGTTTCCTGTCATTCTTGCAATCCCTCCTGCCGATCCATTCCACAACCCCCTAAACCTCCGCCTCCGATCACCTGCCAAGTACACACTTCATTCCTCTAAGGCTCCCATGCGGGCTTAAACTTCTCTACAGGTCGTCTTCCTCCAAATTATCCACCCCCCCCCCAACATCACTACCACCCAAGATGTTGTCGGCTCCCGTTAAGTCGGCGAAGCGGATCTCGTCTCTGTTCTCACTGGGATCCAAAGATCGGGACTCCCAATCCTCGTCCATCAGTTCGCCAGTTTTGAATTCAGCAGAAAATCCCATCGACAAACGACGCCAAAGCAGCTCAAAGCCCACTCGTCATGTCTCGACACCGAATGCCATCTTCTCTTCCGAGCCCAGAACAATGCCCGATAACCTTGACATGGAGAGCCTACCCCCGCCACCTTCACTGCTGGCGGTGAACCAAGATCTGGCCAACAGCGCGCCGAGTTCGCCCGTTGGCCGTCCCCAGAGCAGAGGTCGCGACATGAGCAGGCCATCCAGCTCTGCAGGGCTGGCTATCCCTGGATCGACCCCGGATTCCCGCCCTAGCACACCGTCATCGAAGCGCAGAAGTTGGATGCCGGGTCGTTCGCGCGCCAGCTCAATCGATAAACGACAAACTCCTATGCTTCCCGCTGCTTGGATCGCTGGACTGGACCAGAAGGTTCTTTATGATCTGGGCCCACTATCCAGAGGAGAACAGGTATGCATACACACAAACTCCATTCGTTTTGAGGTGTTCAAAGTTAATCGTTTTTTTTTGTTACTTTCCAGATCCAGGAACTGTGGAACGAGCAAGGTGACACTTATGTCTATATGTTCCCTCAGAATGCCGGCCGCGCCCCATCTTTCAAGGTCGATTCCACTATATTCGCCGAATCCCCCTCTCTCACCTATTTAGCCCGCGGCAACGATGGCAAGACCGGCCTCGAGCAGGCAGCCCGCACATTATCACTCAACCCAGTCTCTCCGCCCATGTCACCGGTGGATGGTCAGGTCGAAAACGACATCGATGACGACAGTGCCGGCAGCCAAAGAATGGCCTTCGAAGATACGCCCGAGGAGGCACCGGAACTCCATCTTTATCTCCCCATTCCGCTGAACTGCGATGTGTCCAACCCGCAAGCCAGGCTTACCCCGGAGGACACAGAGACTCTTCTTTTGTTCCGCAACCTTTTCGCATTCCTGCTCGGCCAGTCTTTAATTGCCTCACCCAAATCCTCCACCCTTTTCTCTATTTTCATGGACGTGGCGGTCCTTTTGGCCCGGTTTGAATTCTCCAACCTGGATGCGTCCAACTTCGGTGAGACTGCCACCTCCAGTTTCAGCAACTACTGCGAAGAATTGCGCCTTGCAGATGTCCGTCGAAGCAGGGAGAAGACGATCGAAGCCATCGTCTTGGGTGAGCGCCTGCGCTACTATCCGCTTTATGTTGAAGGTTTCGTTCATGGTGTTGGAAAGCTGGATGAGCTAAAGCAACTGCGGAGCCCTAAATATACCTTCATCCACCCCATTACGCAGAAACGCATGGAGCGCGCGTTCATTGATCTCGACACCCGTATTCGCGGTCTTTATGGCAAGCTGGAAGATTTCGACTTCCCTTCTGTTTTCTCTGGTGTCGCCAACTCGACTACCTCCCAGGAAAGCAAGGTGGTGCGCTTCAAGAATTGGAAGACGGGATTCCACGAATTCCGCCGCTTTACGATCCAGTACTACCGACAGAAGTACGGCTCGTGGCCGCCCAAGGCTCGATCAAAGAAGAACGAGTTCGAGGAGAACGGCCTGAACCGTCTTCTCCTTTTGGATTTGTACCACGATTTCACCGATCTCTATGATTTGATGGTTGACCGCACGTCCCTGACGACGCGTACAATTGATACTTCGGGCGCAGGCAGTGACTCAGTAGAATCATCTGATCCAAAGCAAATGACCGTTCGCGCCTTGCGGCAGGTCCTCTCCGAGTATGACCGCAGCACACCGCCGGTTCTTCCGCCTATTCCATTCGACATTCCACAGCTGCCTTCGCTGCAGCCCTTGCATCGGAAACCGCTGGACGCCAAGAAGGAGGCCAAGCAGAGCGCTAAGAAGCTTAAGAACTCCGATATTAATGCTGTCCTGATGGGATCTTATACCCGGGAAGCCATGCGGCCCACTACTTTCATTGAGAGCTTCATGCAATTCGAGCGTCGCTCCGCGCACGGCAAGAATGTTAATGACATTACCGATCTCCGATGTGGCCAGTGGATCTTCCTATACGCTGTCATTCAAGCCCTCCCCATGCTGGTAGTTGATGTCCCTGATGTCCACTTCAATGAGGGCGTGGAGTATTTCCTCTGCATTGCCCCACGCGGCGGTGCTCCCTGGATCCATAACGACACTAAGACCGCTCGCAGCTGGTTTGGAGTTGCGGGTGGTGCTGGTGTGGTTAGCTTGCCATCTGACGTAGTCATTAATGGAGTGGAAGGTGTATACCGCCGCAGTCATTGCTGGCAAGTGGCCGAGCAGTGGGCCGAGGCGGGCGCTCTTCTCGATCCACCGATGGTAGAAGACGCCGCCTACGATGATGAGGAGTCTTCTATATCATCACCTTACCAGGGCCAGCAATCGTCGGCTGGATCTTCTTCGGAACCTTACCCGAACCCCATGATGGTCCCCGGTGGGCTCACCCCGCCCCCTCCGGCCATTCCACGAACCCGCTCGCCTGCCGCTGCCCAACGATCCGAGCATCGCCACTCATTCTACCCTGGATTGGAAGCCTTGCCTCTTCCCGCTGGCATTGCCCCTATCGAGCCTCCCACACGTCCGATCAGTCGATTCAACCCCAACATGAGTTTCGATGATATTCTCAAGGAAGTCCCGAAGAAGGACAAAAAGAAGCACTAAATACCATTCATTGTCTTGTGTCTTTTCTCCATGATTAGATTCTATGACACTCCGAATACGGCCTGCATATTCAGGACACGAACTAGTTTTGTGACTCTGATTTCCGTACTCATTGACCGTTTCATTTTTTTTTTCTGTTGATAGGCGCATTTGGTGACACGAACTACTGGGCTGGATCGGTGTGATGCACAGGGAAGCAAAAGCGAAAAGCAAAAACTTTTTAATTCATCGGGGGGCAGCATGCATGGAGAGCATATCATAATTATCGGCATATGGGCATCAGCATCTCCAGAGGAGGGGGCCTTTTCTTTTTCTATTCACCTTGTCATTTTAATTTTTCTTTCTGCTTTTCTTCTCTCTTCACCTCGGATTTCCCCCCTGTTTCCTGTAGTTTGTGAAGCCGGAAGCTGCGCGATAGAAATATAGATTCTAATGTCTACAATTCTGTGTATGAGGGTATATATTTACTGTATTTGTAGTTCTTGTTCCTGTGCTATTCAGTTGTTCCGGATCCATGGTTCGGGCTGAGTTACCGGGTTCTTGATTTCTTTTGTTTAATCTAACATATTTACTACCTAGCTCCCTACTCCGTATGCGTACTTGATTTCTTATTCCAGATGCGCCGCTTTAATGAGGGCGCCCAGAGTCAGGCTCACTGAGTATTGGCTTTTGACGGCTATTAGAAATTAGGGTGCTTATAGAATCCTATAACTGAATAAACTATACACCCAAGAACTCGTCAACCGCTAGAGCGACAGACAGGAGGTGGATCTTACTTACACCATGAGTTATAGCCCTAACCGGATATTTTAGACATCCTCGATTAAACCCATTGGTTGAATGCACTAGGCCTCCTCTATCATAGATAGGGATCGCATCCTGTCTATTTAGAAGCGAGATAGAACTCGAGACATATAGTCGCTTGCTCTCTCGATGCTAGGGACGGTAGATCTATTCATAGGGCAGATCTAGACTTCAGCAGAACCCATTTTGGGTCGGGGCACCCATAGCCTCGTTTCGCTTCAAACTTATATAGCTATTTTACCAAGTAATTAGGTGCTTCGTATGTCATATCTTGGAGCTATGCAGGGTTAGAGGCCTCAGCCCCTATATATATTAACACAATTCTCGTTAATATAATCATATACCTTTCTCTTATAGATGTTAAACTCATTATTGTTCGCGTTTCGCTTTATATGATTTGCAACAAGCACCACATGTTGCATTAATTGCAAGAAGTCAGAAGGAAGTTAACGAATGTTAGCATAGATTTTATCCCTATAGTTTGTATAGGAGAAAAGATGTTGCTGCAACAATTTTTGGCCCCAAAACACGCCCGCAATATTATCGGAAGCGGGGATAGAAGATCGACAATCACACAGCCCTGGAGGCTGAGCATTATATTACGGTGCATCCCAGCCTCTGTTATACGTTGTTATAAGCAAAAGATTCACTATTCTTTCTTCTGTAAACCGAAACTTGCATTTTAATTATGGCGAAACCCATGGAGCTACAGAAATCATCGCAGACGGAAGATGAGCCGCTCATATCGGACAAGCTAAAAACATGGTCACAGTTATTGTCAAAGTTGAAGTGCCCATTGCTCGGGAACAAAACAACAGAAAATTGGAAAATGGCGCTTTATCTAGGGTCGATCTCAGCCTTTGTGGTGTTGCTATTCAACGTTGGTTTTATACTCTGGGCGATCAACCATCATGGACTGCAGGGTGATCAAGCCGTCCTCTTCACTGGGGACTGCGAGAAATCAAAACAGATTAGTACCGGGATTCACTTGGTGATCAATATTCTAGGAACTGTTCTGTTAGGTGCGAGTAACTACGGCATGGTCAGTCACTAAATCATTGGAATTTAGAAATCATAGGGCTAATAAGATCTACGAAGTATAGCAATGTCTCTGTGCCCCAACAAGGGGGGACATTGATCATGCCCACTCCAGAGGGAAGTGGCTAGATATTGGCGTGCAAAGCACGCGGAATCTGAGACATATTCCCTATATAAAACTCTTTCTTTGGATCTGTCTGGCTTTTTCATCGCTCCCTTTCCATCTTATGTAAGTCTCCGATGTTACCTACCTAGGTAGGTATTCACAAGATGCCTAGTGGATGCAATGTCTTATCTTTCTTCCCCTAGGTATAACTCTGCCATATTCCAGTCCCTGTCAGTCTACGAGTACGATGTGCTTGTGGGAAACAAGCCCTTCTCTGACTTCAATATAAATAATACGACACTCCCTAATCAAGACCCGCATGATATGGCGTTTTCAAGACTTCTAAAGAAGGGCACGAACGGGGAGCTTAAGCACTTCAACAATCGCGAGTGTATTACCAAATATGCAAATGGGTTTCAGACGAATTATGCCAGCTTGCTCCTTGTTACGGAAGATTTTAATTCATCTATTAATGATTTCGGCAACCTCACGAACTACAACTATAATACACCTTTAACCGACCCCTATCCCTGGATATGCGCTGCATACAACCTTGATATCTCGGACCAAAGCTGCACAGGCTTTATATCGCAGCTGCTTGCAGACCCAGACAACTGGGTGGTATTGGGAACGCTTCAAGGCGTAACCCTTGAGGAGGGGGCTATGAAGAACTATCTAGTCCACTCCACGAATCTCAAAGTCAAGTATTGCCTGAGCGAAAGCGTCCCGGAAAGATGTACTGTTGAGTACAGCCTTCCGTTGGTTATTGTGGTCATTATTTCGAACATCATCAAAATCGTCATCCTATGTTGGATTACCATCACTATGGTTGAGACTCCCATTTTGACCACAGGGGATGCCATTGCCTCCTTTATCAAAGTACCCGATAATACCACAAGAGGACAATGTCTACTTTCGCGTGATGTGGTGATCAAACCAGTCAACAAGGACCTACGATTTGATGCAAAGCCAAGACGATGGGGATCACCCGTATCTACTCGCCGATGGGTAATTTGTCTGGTATCGTATGTGAAGCCGCTATAACCCCCTTGATTCTTTGGCCTAACCCACCACTTTAGATATTCCATTTCCATCATCATCTGCATTTCCTTTCTCGTTCCGGGAGTGATCTTAGGAGGTGCTGAGACCTGGACCACTGGCCTCGGAGAGCCGAATGCCGCAACCTTGATACCCAATTTACCTTCCTCTCTAGTGGCAAACACCATCATAGCCAATACCCCTCAGCTTGTGTTCTCGATACTATACTTTTCATCTAATGGTATCTACACAATCATGGCGCTCGCCAATGAATGGAGCTACTACGCCTTCAAACGGAAGGGTCTCCGGGTTTCCACGCTTTCCCAGGGGTCTCAGCGAAGCACATACTTCCTATCTCTTCCATACCGATACTCACTTCCCCTTCTAGCCTTTTCAGGTATTTTGCACTGGCTTATATCCCAGAGTTTTTATCTAGTGAGCGTTAAGTCGTACGGGGTTGGGCTGACTCGGGAGCCTGCGAACGATACCACCACGTGTGGGTATTCACCGGCTGCAATTGTGAGTACGGTTTCTGTCGGGGTCGCCATGATGGCTTGTCTTATCTTGATGGCATTTAAACGATTGAAGTCCGGCATGCCAGTGGCGGGAAGTTGTAGTTTAGCTATTGCTGCTGCTTGTCACCCTTCTTTGTCGAATGGGGAAAACAGTGCGATTGATAAGACAGCTGGTACACTTCCGTTGAAATGGGGGGTTGAAATGCCTGAATGTGATGGGATAGGACATTGTGCACTTTCCAGTGAACAAGTGGAGTCTGCGCTGGATGAAAGCGTGTATAGATGAATAGTTAGTTAATTAGAGAGATGTGATTTTAGGTACCTTTTCTACATGATATACATATAAAAGGTACTTGAAAACTAGCATTTATATATCTCACCACATCATTGTTTTTGTATCAAATTGATATAGTGTACGTTTATATAATCTATTTAGTATAACTCGAACTAAAAATGGGATTTCTTAATTTTTCCACTTTTAGATAATAGCAAAAATAGTTTAGAGACGAAAGCTATAGATTTTAACGGTAAATTCTGAATATTAAATCACCTCTCACCTCCCTATAATTGAGTAATTTTGAGGTACCTTTTGTATGTGTGTTCCATTAGAAAGGTACGTTTTTGCATTCAACCCACCTGGAGTTGGACCGTGCGTTGGGTCGAGTAGTATGGGTATTGGACCTTTCAAGGTTGCCATATCCTGGATTTACCTGCGCTTTACAACATACTCCGTACAAAACGCTCTTCGTCTCTCCCAATCAAAAATGCATTCGTCAAATGGTGAAACCATGCATATACCGAGGCTAAACCCACCAAAGCAGGCAATACGAGAGGGATCAGCCACACAGCCTCATTTCCTTTTAACACCGTCGGTTACAGAATCCCCACAGGATTAGGGGCTAAGGAAAGAAAGGGCCTTCACGCCCGTAGATCTCTTCCAGACTCGTTTAAGCTTGATTATTCAAGTCTAGCTTTATTCAATTCCTCCTAACCCCATCCCAAAGTACTTCACCTTATCGGGAGGGAGGAAAACAAAGTCGGAAGAGCCTCAGCAAAAAACCGCCGACAATGAATTAACGACACACTATACACAACAATATATACCTACTTCAATCATTAATAATCGCATCTTCCCTTATTCTACCCACCATGCCACCCTCGCGCTCCAGCATAACGAGCGACAGCCACGAGCGCCTGGAGCCGCGACTCCTCCGCGCCGCAGAATCAAACGACATCGACTCCCTCAAACAGACAATAACCCTCGCCAGCGAGTACAACCAATTAACCGACAATTTCCTCCGCATTGGATTAATGCGCAGCGCCGAACGAGCCTGCGTCGCAGCAACAGAATACCTCCTCACCCTCGGCGCAAAAACAGACGTCCCCTCCAACCGAGCCTCACCACTCCTCCGCGCCGTAGAGCGCGACCACTACGAAATCGTCCGTCTCCTCCTCGACCATGGCGCAAGTCCAGACTCCGCTGATAAAGAAGGTCGAACGGCGCTCATGACTGCCGCATGGAAGAACCATGCTGATATCCTGCACTTGCTCATTATGCGCGGCGCGGACGTGAATAAACGAGATCTGCGCCGGAGGAATGCATTGCATAACCTTGCCGCTGATAAGGATTGTCGGTGGGGGTGGGGGGATGAGGTTGTGGGGTTGTTGTTGAGGACGGAGTGTCTTGTTGATGGTATTGAGGGTCAAGATGAGCTTGGACGTACGCCGTTGCATTGGGCTTGTGCGTCTGGGAACTGGAGGTTGGTGGAGATGTTGTTGACGAGGAATGTTGGTGAGGGGGAGATGGCGCGGATGCCGGCGGAGATCGATGCTGTTGAGTTGCGTGGGAAGACCGCGTTGCATATTGCTACTGCTCATGACCGGGCGGATATTGTGCAGTTGCTGCTTGCGCACAAGGCGGCGGTTAATGCTGCTAGTGATGGTGGTTGGACGCCGCTTCATAATGCCTGTGATAAAGGATGCGAGGAGATTGTGCGGATTCTGGTCAGTGAAGGGGCGCATATCAATGCTCAGCTATTGAATGGTATTACGCCGCTGCATCTTGCTGCGCAGGGAGGCCATAAAGAGGTTGTGGAGTGTCTTCTTGAGAGGCCGGAGCTGAAGAGGAGGGTCAGGGATAATTTTGGAAGTACGCCCTTTTTGCGCGCGGCGCAGTTCAAGAGAAAGGATATTGTGTTGTTGCTTGCGCCGTTTAACAATGTTGAGAGTCTTTCCGATGATGTTAAGGATGCTTGTGCGGCGTTCGATGCTACTGTTGTTGATTTTGGGAACTTTCATAATGAGAATCGGGTTAAGCGCATGTCGGTGTTTAATCTACTTTATGGGAGGGACCGGGAGAATCCTAGGAAACAGGCTGTTACCACTTTACCAGCTGATAGTCGTGGGAGTGAATTCCGGTGGATTCACTTACCGGCGAACAATATGGCGTGGGTGGAAGCTCTACTCACCAAGTCTTTTATTGAGGAGGGTGCTCATGATGTTGATGGGTTCAAGGGGCTGGAGAAGTCCTTCAACTATCAGCATCGGGGTCAAAGGACTCACTCGCATTTTATGCGGCCGTTGTGTCAGAATACACCACGCACGCTGCTGCGGCGACATGAAGATGATTCTTCGGAGGAGCCTGTGTCCGAAAATGTGCAGGTGAAGGTTATGGAAAACGCTGCCCGCAAGCAAAAAGGCACAGGCGGTAAGCCTGACAAGGTGGATTCCTACTTCCACGATGAAGGGACAGGCCTACATGGGAAAAAGAGTAAAAACAACCAGAAGCGTGGCAAGTCAGGCAGTACACCGGGAACTCCCAAGCAGGAGACAAAAGGGAAGTCACCTTGGGGTCAGAGCGAGAAACAGGCGAGGTCATCACCACTGTCTTCAAATCTTTGCAAAGATCCTCACCCTCTGGTTTCTGCATGTAACGTCTGCGTGTTCATGCCGTATCTACACTTTGAGACCACGGAGCGCAGACAAAAGATGCAGGATGCAATCTCACGAGCGGAAACGCTGGACTTCGTATCCAATGAGATAAAGAGAATGCGCACACGGGACGAAATGCTCATCGACGCACATCTATCATCCTCAACGACCTCTCTCCATGTCCGCCGAACACTGGACCAGTTCTTCTATCCGAACATCGATACCAAGAGTCGTGATCTGGATCAAGTGGTGTACCGCCACCAAACAAAAAGCCCCGGAATGGAGGCAGACCCCAAGATATTCATGGTGGATCAACTGTGGATGTGGGTTCTGGGCACGAATCTGATTGTAACGGCCTTCCCGCAGAGATGGGATCAGCCCAAGAATGACCCGCTTAACGTGCTGGATGGGATTATTGAGGATATCAATTCCAAAACCCGAGACCCTGTCAAGTCCGTCTATGATCTAGCCATGATAATCACCAATCGATGCTCCGGGGTCTTCGATCGACATCGCTTAGGCGATGAGGAGTACCAGTTCCTCGATATGTTCGAGTCATCCATCGGTATCGCTACGGACAAAGAGACCGTGCTCTTTAACCAATTCAATCACGCCTCCGGACAAGCATCAGACTGGCTGAAAAGCCACCGAAAGCTGAACGGCTCCTTCAGCTCTCCGCCAAAGTCCGGCGATGGGACAGACGAAAGCAGCAGCTACTGCGACGAGGACGGCCAGCCACTATTCGTTGACCGGCTCCTGGACATCGGACAGGAAACCAATCTCTTAGCCGAGACAAAGGACATCCGAGACGAGCTGAACATGATCCGGACGGTTCTGGAACACCAGAACAACGTGTTGCTCGACTTCCAAGAAGTCGTCTGCGAGACGTACCAAGGCCAGCACCGGTCCCAATTCGAGGTCAAGAAACGGTTCAAAGACCAGCAGCGCATGATCGACATGCACCTGAAGGACATTGACCGAATGGACAAACAGGCCGAGCGTATCTATCACTCCATCACGGATCTGCTGGATCTCAAACAGAAACATGCCAATGCATTCGAAGCCCGCTTTGCGCGTGATCAGGCTGCGGGTACAACCCGGCAAAGCAAGACAATTATGGTCTTCACTATTGTCACTATTGTCTTCCTGCCGTTGTCGTTCATCGCCTCCATATTCACGATCAATCTGAAAGAATTCGAAAATTTGAATCTCGGCTATGTGGCAAAGTATACCTTTGGTATTGGCTTTGCAATCTCCATCCCACTTGTCTGGGTCGCTCTCACGGTTGATGATATTGGTGGGTTTTTCCGCTTGGGTAGTCGACGCTGGTTGTCTAATCGGGCGAAGCTGTCTGCAAAGAGTGAACGGGGCGAGGAAACGCTCCAGGCTTTGGAGACGGAGAAAATTATAAGTTTGTCGCGGATGAGAAGGAGTATCGATGTTGGATATGGCGGCAATCTGCTGCCTGTTTCTACACGTGGCACGGGGACGTCGAGGAGGCCTGATCTATACGTTGGTGGATTGGGCAATGGCACTGTGCGGAAAAGTTACGATCTGCGGTCTAGTATGGACTACAGATCACGATGATACGATTTATGGCATATAATGATTGGAACTTTTGTCTTATAGCTGGTCATTTTGTCTTGGCCATTTTGTTGTTTCGATCTTTGGGCAAAAGTTCGATATACCCGTCTTCTACATAGCATTAAAAGTAATTGAGGTTCTGGTGAGAACTGAAGAAGTTTTGACGATAATTAAAAAAGATCTTTAGTAGCAAACTGCGTCAGCCCTAGAAGCTACAGTATTCGCCGTCTAGCTTAGCTGCACCACATCTGAATACTCCCTGCTTGCCTCTTTCCCATTCCCTATGACCTTAGCGGGGTGGCACACATTCATAACGAGCATGGTGATAAGCATCAACAGCCCATCAAATATGTACATGAACACCTCGTGCGTCATGGTGTACCCATCGTAACCCTCTTTGTATTCGACCAAGCGGAAAATAGACCGCACGAGAATCAGGAAGCTGGCGATGTACAATCCAACAAGGATTGTGAACCAATTGCGCTGTCTCCAGCCATCACCGCGGGTCTGGTCGCGATCTAACTGCGATTTGGAAGTCGGTTGACGGGAGATGCGGAAGTGGAAGACCGTCGTGACGATCACGAAGAAGCCGAAGAAGAGGAGTTGGACGACCAGGCCACCGATAGTTATGTTCGAACCTGCTTCACGCATATTGCCTCCTGTGGACATGAGACCGCCGCCTGAAATGAAAGATATGGTTAGCTTTCATTGTTCTCAGACCGTAGCTGGTCTGTTGTCTGATTTGATGACAAGTGATTTACTTACCAGCACATTGCAAGAAGAAGGAAAACACATCTCCTGTCACAAATATCTTGGTCATCCACTTGATGGGCACCATGCTGAGGTTCTCAGCCTGAAGGTAGGTGACTGTGCGGCCGAGGACCATGTAGATAGAGGCCGCGTATAGCGGCGGCGCGAGCAGGATAAAGAGTGTCTGCATGGCGTACAGCGGGATTCCATAGAAGTTGTCATGCGACGCGGCTCGGCAGATGTATCCTATGACCTGGACTGTATGAGTTAAGGGAGAGTTAGTTGTAAGGTTAAAAAGCCAAACAAGTAGCTTCACGTACAGATTCCCCCGATGACGAATGGGATGAAGTACCAGCATCGTGACTTCGTGAGTTGATAGCCGTGGTGAGCGGTTGAAGCGCTGAAGAGAATGATAAAGATGACAGCGGCGGGAAGAGAGGGGTTGTACCCATAGATATTATGTTGCTCAGCCATCTTGAAATGGGATGAGTTAGAAGGTTGAAGAATTTGAGTTCATTTATCCTAGTTGGGATACACGTTTGGACTTTATATGAATCAGGGCAACAACATCGCTACCAGCTACCACCATAGCCTACAAATCAGAAACAAAGTTCCTCCATGATCCACTATAAATTTAGGTGACCTTATAATGGAATGAATTGATTCGAGGGTTATTCTTATGATTTAGGGGAATATCTTGGCTTTTACGCAGCTTACATTGACTATGTGGGGGCATTGAAGAGGCTTGTCGTTTCCGTATCCGTATTTGTATCCGTGTCCGTATTCGTTTCTCCCGTATCCGCACTCGAATTCGAATTGATCTTTCCTTGAACACCCTGATGATCTTTCTATATATATTTGAACAATGGGCCCAAGGAGACCACATCGCAAGTCGCGTAATGGCTGTCCACAATGTAAAGCGAGAAGACTAAAGGTCCGACGAACACCCCTTAGCCTGAGCTTATTCTAACCCAGCATAGTGCGATGAAAAATATCCATGTACCAACTGTGTCAAACATGCCATTCAATGCTCCTATGTTGAGCGTAGCGTATCGACCCCGGTTGAGAGTCCAGCTACTCAGTCAGGGTCATCAATGCTGTCTTATGGGCCTTCGCCATTGACTGCAGAGTCATATCCGGCAACTCCCGCCGGGAACCCGGGGACTCTGGGTCACGAACAGCGGAAGTCAGAGAGTAGATCTGATCTACTGCAATTTCTATCCGACTCGCCAGCCGAAATTCCGGCTTTGAACACGGATGACTGGGCATCAGATCTTGAACTCATGCACCATTACTGCACCGTGACATGCAACACTCTGACAATCCGCGAAGACTCACGGCATGTCTGGCGCACTGTTCTCCCAATGGAGGGATATTCCAATAAATATTTGATGCACGGAATACTGGCTTTGGCAGCATTGCACCGCTCCTGTCTCTTCCCAACCCAGAAAGAAAAGAGTCTCAAGGCATCTTCCTACCACCAGGCAGCTGGGCTAAAAGAATTCCGGGAGCTCATTTCCTCCCCAATAGACCCTAGCAACTGGCAGCCTGTTTTCTGCTTTGCTTCTATGGTCATGGTATACATCTGTGCCTCGCCAGTCCGACTAGGAGAGGATCGTTGGCCTGCTCCGATATCGAATATGGTGGAGCTCTTTTCCGTCGTCAAGGGATTGCAGACTATCATGGAGCCATGGCTACGCTCTCTTCGAAGAACCCAGCTGGCACCGCTTGTTAACTGCATCTGGCTTGAAGATGAAATGCTCATTCCAAGGTGAGTTTGGAGTTCCTGTAATCCCATATTGGAGGCATGGTAATTGTGGAACGAGCGAACTAACACCGTTTCAGCCCAGCAACCATACAACAATCTCTTCTTCCTCCTGACATCCAGACTCGGATATCACAACTCCATCGGTTTATTGATGATTATCCATTCCCTCACATACAACCCCAGTCCTACCAGAACTTGAGCGTCTCGGGTGAATTACCAAGCCCTTTCGATTACCGAGCAGACTACAAGCACGCAATAAAGTACTTTGAGATCTCGACTCGTCAGATAGAGCTTGCGGGACCCCATGTGGAGGTTGGCATGGTCCTGATGTGGGCATACTCACTTTCCAAACAATTCCAAGCTGATTTGGAAGCGTTCCATCCTGCAGCTCTGGTCCTGCTGAGTCATTGGTGTGTGCTGCTGCGTATTGTGGATGATTCTTGGTTCATCAAAGACACTTCACTTCAATTACTGGAGGATATTGAGAACAAGATCAACCCCGGTTTTAGGGAGTGGCTGGTATGGCCGAGAAGATGGGTCTTTGGTAAATGACTCCGATATACCCTATTTATTGATTATTACGACGTATTTATAGATATTCGTCATGGGAATTTCTTTTACAAAACTTTACAGTAAGATAGATTGGTGTATATTCCACCCGATTCCGAGCGGCGATTCATTATTTCATGGTAAACAACTTCAAATATGAAACGATAGATGAAAACAAAAATTAACACAAACTCCAACTAAAAAATCACAGCCATTCGACCTGTGTTCACTGCACATGAACCTTGACATACTCTCTCGTCTCATCTTCAACATCACTTGCTTCAGACTCCGCTGGAGTGAGAGTCCTCTCATCCACGACCATGGCATTCTTTTCATTCACCAAATCACCACCCTCCACAATAATCTTCTTCTTCCCAACCTCAAGATCCTGAACAATCCTCGGCAAAGTAACATTCAAAACACCATCCTCCAGCTTCGCCGAGATCCTATCAACACCGATAGCTAAGGGGAAGTAATGATGATGTATTATGCTATCTACTGAAGGCTAGATAATGGTTGACTTCTCATTTTCTATAATTACTGTTGCATTCGCTTTCATATTGCACCTGGTACGACCTGGCATTATTCCTACATATCTGGACTCGCATAAATGTACTCCGTATAGAATGTTCGCGAGTGAGTGTCCAGAGCATTAGCATGGTGTTTTAGGTCTGAAGGCGAAGGAGGTGCGTTGGGAGGGAGATTGAGTGAGCCATAAATTGGACCTTGCTTTTGGAATTCGGATATCCAGTCATCACTGGATTGTTACTAGCTAGCTACTGTCTCATTGTCAGTACAGAGTATGTAAAGCACTGAGATCGAAGGGGAAGAGAAAGATGATGTCGAACTAAGCTATAGAGACATGAGTACGACTCAGTATGCCACCGGCACATAACTCTCTTATTGGTTCATATTGTCAGCAGTAATTTAGATCTACTAGGGACTTTTAAAGTAAGCTAAATCTGAAGTGAATCTGAAGTGAATCTAAAGTGAATCTGAATTGTATTCGAAGAAAATTAGCAGACCCCTTGGCCGCTAGTTTAAGGGTAGGTGAATATTTATAGGGTAGACTGTTGTAGGTAAGTCATACAAAAGATATATAAATTGTAGATTTGGACTAGCTATACAATTGAAATTAGACCAATAACGACCGATACATCCCCTATCCTGCGGCAAGTCTCACCAGTATGGCTTCGCATCCAAATACGGCATACCAAGCAGTACCACCAGCTGCAAACTTCAAGAGTTTGCTGCGGACCTGTCTGTGTCGGTAAACAAAGCCATCAGTCAAAAGGGGTACACCAACGTGTTTGTCCTGGCTTTTCATTGGCAGAATGATACTATGGGCGTGGCAGGGCTCGAGGCCGACTTGCTCGATTTGTTCAGGCACACATACCTGTTCCAAGTGGAGAACTACGTTATCCCGCTCGGAGGCTCATAGCTTGAGTTGGTGATGCATCTCGGCAAGTGGTTCCAAAAGCATCGAGGGGAGGACCTATTGAGGATTATCGTCTACTCGGGGCATGTTCCGGTGTACTTAGTCGCCCGTTGACGAGGTCATCCATCCTTCCTAGTTTTATTAGGAATTCACAAGCACTCAGGCCCATCATTTCCCATCAAACAATCATCGATTTCCATCTCACGTGGAAGAAAAAGTCCAGTCGCAACGTCTCTTCCAAGGTTCCTTCCAGAGATGACATTCATATTCGGCGAGCAACCCGTCCATCAGAGCGGATCCCAGTCGATACTGTGGCGGCTGACAGAAGTGAGGCCTGTGCGTTTGAATTTCACTATCATTACTTTATTTGCTTTTCGCTCTTTCCTTTGCGAGTACAATGTACTCCCGCAGCATTCCTCCAAATTACAATTGCTTGCCGATCCGTTCAAGATTGCCCAGGGACACTTATTTCTTTACAGCGCGTTGAACGAGAACCCTGACCGTAAACCCGGCTATATAATAGATTATGTCAAATTGCAAGGTTGCATACATGGATTTACATGGTATTATACCATGGAAGATTATGTAATCATAGCTTAGTCATAAACCGCACAGAAACAGCAGTTTCTATTATATAGAAAATGCAGAGTTCTCCATATCAGCCCTGAGGTGCATACATTTCAATACGTCAGATTTCTGTCAGTTATGAGCCCGGCTTTGTTCTATTAAACATCAATTCAAAGATCAACCCTACTTCTATCGATACTAAGGTAATCTACCTAGCGACGAAGCAACCCCTAAATCGAAGAAAAATCGGAAATCTATCCAAATCATGGCCGATTATCTCTCCGCGGGTCCATCCTCCCGCGTTATACTCAAGGACACCGAAACTTGGGATATATAGATCGCTAATATCGAATCGATTGTAGTGCAATTTAACGTTTAGGAGCTATATAATCCTAGTAAGGAAAAAGAACCGGAGATATAGAAAGCTCCGGCGGAGATCATATCGATTAAAGAAGCGGAGAAAAAGTATGGCGACAAATAGGTCGATACTTATAAAGTGATTCAATCGAACTAGTCGATAAAGAATACACTTTATACCTAGGAAAAGAAGGGGTTAAGTATGATTATAATAGTAATCCGGAATAGCGTTCACGTGAACTTCTAGCCGTTTATTATAGACTATAAGACTCTATATAGTCTACTCCGAAACCTTCGAGAAAGGTTCGCCTTAGAGTATAATCTAACCTATTCTACTAGGCTCCGTTAATAATAGAGAAGCCTAGATAGAGGGTTAGATAAAAATATAAATATTAATAAATAGTTATTAAACTAGGAGATAGTTTAATTAAGCTATAAAAGAGTAGGAATACTAGAGGCAAATAACGCTTCGACTTAGTTCCTTAATACTATCTTAGTAATATTACCTAGATTCCACGAGATATAGACTCTAAGAATATAAGACAAAAAAGATATCGGATTTACTAAGCTTCTTAACCGGTATAGAGCTTACTAGAAGATCACCTATAGTAAGCTAGTTGCTAATTAACGGGGTATCTCCAAAGCTACTTTTTCGACTTAGTAAGGCTACGAAGAAGCAAAGCTAGCTAAGATAAAGTCAGCTAATACAAAGTCAGCTAGAGAAAAACTACCGTTCAAATTAAAGCCATATCCATATAGACAGAACTATAGACGGCACCCACCTTAGAAGTATTA